ATAGTGATATATGTGCACCTATGTTTATAGCAGCACTATTTGTGATAGCCAAATCTTGGAAATAACCAAAATACCCAACACTTGAGGAATGGATGAAAAAGATACAGTATTTTTTGTACAATGGAGTATTACTCAACTATAAAGAAAACTAAACTCAAATCCTTCCTATATAAGTGGATGCAACTTGAAGCTATACTCATAAGTGAAATAAACCAGACCCACACATGTAGATATCATATTGTATCCCTAGTGTAAAAACTCAAAAGAAGAAATAAACATTGAAAGTTATAACACAGTTATATGGGAAGTGAGAACTTAAGGATTAAACAACAAAGAGAGAGCAAGGAGAAAAGTTAGGAACTATGGCGGGGCAAAACCGTACATTTATATAAACAATATAGGGTTAGGGCAATGGTCCTAAGAATATCCATCAGGTTTTTGAAAATAGCAGTTAATGGGGAGAATTCTCACCCTGACTAACTCTATGTGCTGGTATCTGTGAACCAAGCAACTACACAGATAGAAATGTGTAATACTAAACCCATGCTTGAAATACCTGTCCTTTGGTCTTCTAAATGCATACTGCTTCTAATGTCATATCAATTATTGCTATATTCTCTTTAAAGTAAACATTTGTTTAAAAAAGGTATTAAAAAATTATTGATAAAAAATTAAAAATAAATTTTCAAAAAAAATTACCAGAGACCATCAGCTAAACAACAAATATATTATTAGGCCCCAGTTTTGACTCATTATCCCCCTTTATATCTGGTGGATCCCAATACCACTGGTTATAGAAAGAAAGTACTTGCCCAAACATATCAACACGATTTTTTGACTCATTTCTGTTTTCTTAGCTTATCTATTTGTTGGGTTTTTTCCTTTGTTCTTATATTATTTTTTATTTTTCCTTGTCTTTTTTCTTTTTATAACTTTTAACTAATTCTATTTACTTTCTTATATTCATTAATTGTACTTTTAAATTTCTTGTTTCTTTTCTCATCTTTCTTTCTTGATTTCAAATATTACTTCTTTTCTTTATATAAGAAACCTAAAATAGAAATAAGGAGCAAAGTAAAAGATGACACGAAGCATGAATGTAGACTTCATGGTGATGTGAAAGTGATGGGAAAATTGGGACGGGACAGTAGGGTTGGAAAGGAGAAGGAGAAGTGAAAATAATCAACATTCAATATGTATATGTACCAATTCCCCAAGATAAACGCTATTGTTATATATTTTAACACTGGTGAAAAAAAAGCAAAAGACTGAATAGCTTATATACAACATGGTTGAATCTCAAAAACACAGCTACATTAAAGAAGCCTTAACCAAAAAAGTAAATAGTATATGATTCTTTAAGTGAACTATAAAAATGACAGATCTAAGCTACCCCAGAAAGCTGGAGAGGACTGCCTGGGACAGGCACACTGGAACTTTTTTGTTTTTAAGACAGAGTCTTGTTATGTATTTCAAGATGGCCTCAAACTTACTATTTATTCCAGACTGGCCTCAAATTTGCACAGTACTCCTGCCTCAGCCCCCCAAGTGCTGAGATTACAGATATGCACCACCACATCCAGCTAGAATTTTAAGAATAATGAGAATGTTAGTGATTTTAGTGGTGGAATTCTTGTGTGGAATATTGTCAAAATTCAACAAAATGTACAATTTAGATATACTTTATCGTATGCGAACTGTACAATATTAAAATTGGTTTTTGTTTGTTTGTTTTGACCAGAGATCAAACTCAGGACTTTCTACTTGCCAGGTTGGTGCTTACATTGCTGAGCTATCTCCCCAGCCCTAAAGCTGATTTTAAAAGAACCCTTAACAAGGACTATAAAATGTCATATAATCAGAGACCTAGCTTCCTCTCATGATCAGCTCTGGTGCTCCTAAACTTTCTAATGCTCTGGATATGTACACATGCTGTTTCCTACTCTTAGGTAATTGATTGCTGCTTCACTGTTAGACTAGATCAAATAATTTTCAAATACTTTTCTTCAAAAACTGTTCCCAGACACCTTAGTTTCAGGCTCTAAGTGCAAAACAAATGTAAATGCCAAGAAAAAATAATTTGTGGACAGGACATCCCCAAAAAATATTTTGGCAGCAAAACCAAAACATTATACCCAGAAGTCTAGTTTAATCCTGCTTAATCCAAAACTATTTCTAATATCATCCAATGTAAGTGCAATACCTGTAGAATGAAAGAAACGGTTCCAGGTATTTAAGTCTAAGTTACACAAAAGTAAAAGTAAACCATGCTCCCTTGAATACTTTAAAAAACAGTAATGGTCTAGACCCAGATTTTTATAGGTGGTATTTTAAATTCCATCAGATTTTAACCTAATTCTTTTTTTATGCCAATGATACCTAATCAGGACCAGTATCTCCAAATTAGGATCAACAGCCACAAACCAATCCAGTTTCTGGAGTTATAAGAAAGAGCTAGTGTGGTTTCAGATAACTACAAAATGTATTTTAAGGTAAAAAGTTTTAATTTCAGGTCTTGCAATAATTATACCCAAGGATATTAATTTATTTAACTTCTCTAGATTTTCATTTTTATTATTTCAGCTTAAGGAGGTAAGTCTTCACAGGTGGACCAGTCAATCTATTTTCCATACCTTTCCATACTTTTTCTTTAGTAAAGATTACAGCAACAAAGTTAAAAACCATCATTTGTATAGTTAAGATACATTTATATTAGTTTTACACTTAATAGAACTGAACATTACAAACAAATCTTCTCAAACATTACAAACTTAATCTTTTTAATTCACAACAATTTCATGTAGCATTTTGAATGGTTTATTACTAGGCAAGCTTTTTTTTTCTTTTTTTAATGTATTTGGTATAGGGTCTCACTATGTAGCCTGGACTTGTAGTGATATTCCTGTTTTCAACTTCCCCAGTGCTAGGATTATAGGCATGCACCACCACGCCCTGACTCAAAGTCTGACTCAGTGTGCTCAGGGGTGGGGCCGGTGCAGCATGTAGTGCCACATATCAAACCCTGATCCCTGCACTTTCCTAAGCAGGTGCTGAGTAATCTCACTGGTTTTTTAAGCAAACTTTCATAGTACTCAATACTACAAATTTTTAAAATATGAAGGCTGGACAGATAGCTCAGCAGATTAAAGCGCCTGCTTAGGCAGGCACAGGGGCTGGGGTTCGAGCCCCAGGCCTGCCCCCGGGGTGCACTGAGACAGCCATTGAGACTGGGTGTGGTGGTGCACCCCTGTAATCCCAACACTTGTAATCCCAGGCTGAAAACAGGAGAATCACTATCAGTCCAATCTGTGTAGTGAGACCCTGTAAACCCTGTACTAAATAAAAATAAATAAATAAATAAATAAATAAATAAATAAATAAAAATAAAATATGAAAATAACATTTATGGGTCAGGGAGATAGCTCAGTGGCATAAGCACCTGCCTGGCAAGTACAAAGACCTGAATTCAATCCCTGGTATTGCAAATAATAATAATAATATTTAATAATGTTATTTATCCACATATGCATATACTGTATACATACATGTACATATACATGGAGGTACTGGAAAACACCCAGCTTCTGGGGAAAAGCTTTTTCCCAAGTTATTAAAAGGTAGAATTTACATCAAAACAATTTTACAACTATTAGAATGACCTACCACCCACTTTCTATATAGTTTCTTTATTGACTATTACACAAATCTGAATAATCCTATGGTCCACAATGATAAAATCTTCGATAGTGACAATAACTGCACTACGAAAAAGAGTAAGAAAAATGGAAGTAAAGCAGAATGAAAGCAGGGATGGAAAGGGCAGAAGAAAAAGAATCTCATGACAAATTATTAGAAGATATTCAGGAGACTGAGATTGAAATATGCTCATATGATATTCATAACCATATGCTGCAAAACAATCCACAGTAATAAAAGCGGATTCAAACTAGTTACAATAGTCTTATGAAAGATGAAAACAATAATAATTTCAAAGTATTTGAAGCCTGAGCCATAATAAGGGGTTTTTTCCAACATAAAAATGGTTAAGTGGGGGCTGGTGAGATGGCTCAGTGGTCTAAAGCACCTACTTAGAACAAGCTAAGCTAAGCAGGGCACAGGGACCCCAGTTCAATCCCCCAGCACCACATGCCAGCCAGCCCCGCCCCCTGGTGGGCTGAGCTGGCCACACACACACACAAAATAAATAAATAAATAAATATTTTTAAAAATGGCTAAGTGGCTTCTGTATTTCTTCACTATGCTGCTGCTTGCTTTTGCCACACAGCATTTTAATTATTAGTGTTTTTAAGCAATATTTTAAAACTTGGGCAAATAAGAGTTATAACAGACAATTATGTAAAATATTTCTATCATTCAACAGAAATCCTACCCTGATTTTACAAAACGGACACTACTATAATTCAAATTACTTTTGCCTGCTTCTTTCTTTACTACAAAACAAAGACTATAAATCATATAGTAATACTGCCTGGTTTAAAGGTGTCATGAAAATTTTAATTTTGTTCATACAATATAACAATAATTTTAGAATCTTACTGATGAGCAGAAGAATATACTCATATAATGTAGCTTACTTAATACTGTAAGCAGAAATAACTGTGACAACTATGTATTTCCTGGAAATTTTTCCATTTAAACTTTATAAGTACAGTATATGATATTTCTGTATTCTGTCCCCTAAGTAACTATACATAAAAACTAGATAAGTTGTTCTATATTCAGACTATGTATTTTTATTATGTTCCTACTTTACTGGTCACATCACAGGTTTCTAAGAAAAAAACCCAACAATTATTACACTAACGAGGCTTTTTAAATTTGTATATTAGCTAGATGTAGATTTTTTTCACTCTGCTAGTTGACTTCAAAATATTATTTGGATTTTTTGAGGCATATTATTACTACTTAAGTAATTATCTTGACATTAGAAATGAAAGACAGAAAGTATATTATTATATGAAGAGAACAAAAGATCCTACCTGTTTTAACCTCATGAAGAAAGTCTCTGTAAAAGTCTTCCTGCTGAAATACCAAAATCGCTCATTTGCAGGGTACACACGAACTACTGTCTCCAGGAGAAAGCGGACAGGCTCTACCACCTCTGTGACTACCATATCCACTGCCACAGTCATGTATACTCGTTTATCTGTAGTAGAAATTTTCTAGGTTTTAGGCTGGTTTTATTATTTCTTCATTTTTTAAGAATACACCATTTTTCTCATTTATAAAAGATGTTCCTTATCATTATCACCTACTACATTTTTAATAACACTTTAAGTAACCAAGTAGTCCAAGTATGTTTCTCAAGCACTAATGATCCTATCTTATTCAAATATCCAAAACTCTCAACAACTCTCTTTTTCCATATCCCAAATCAGATCCATAACAACAATAAATAAATAAAAACTGGGCTGAGGGTGTGGTCTATTGTTAGAGTCCTTATTAGTATGGGCAAAGCCTTGGATTCAATTTACAGCACCATAATACATACATACATATTTATTTAGGATATAGTTTAACCTAAAATTACCAAACTTCTTAAACTTTGGAAATCCAGAGATTTTCCTTCCATCGTAAAAAAGACAAATAATAGAAACTGTTAGGTTTATTTAATGAGTTATTTGGGAAGAACTGTCAAATTAACAGCTTCTCCATGTTAAACTCATACAGGCAAAATGTTACTGATAACAGACATTTTCACATTGTATGCTTTAAGAGAAATCCCTGGAGATTTGTCAGAACCTTCATTGTTCATAATATATTTACCCTCAATCAAAGCTCCAGTGAAATACTTATGTGAAGTTTTCATATGTGTTTGTGTATTGTGCATACATGCACAGATGAGGTCTGACATGTGCTTTGATCCAACAGCAATATAGTACTATCAGCCTAAATGCTAGTTATTATACAAAATGTTTACTTGGTCATAATTTATATTTAGTTTGTACCTAGGATCTTTTAGGCTGGTTTCCATTGGTTTTCTCTGGTTTCCACTATGATAGGTCAAAATATGGATTTCATTTTATTTTCCTTAGCTGTGTGATATTTAGTGGAGTTTTTAAACCTTTAATGGAGTTTTTGGTCACTCCATATCATTTTATCTTTTTGGAATTTACTTTCTCCACAATTCTTAGTTCTTAAAGAAAAATCCAAATAACCAAGTTTTTAAGGCATTGTAGAACTTATAAACAGAACTTTGACTGATATTATACTTGCCAATTCAAGACAAACTAAGATTCTCTGGACATTGTGCTGTCCTTTAAAGAAAATAATGAAGAGAGGTAAGAGAAAGCAACACAAGACATGAAATATATTACTCAACTCGATCTCACTGCAGTAAAATGATCCAAGACATTTCATTTCTCAGGGCCTAAATTTCTTCCACAAAAACCATATGTTAGGACTAGAGAGATAGCTCAGTGACATAAGCACCTGCCTGGCTAGTGCTAGGTCCTGAGTTCAAGCCCTGGTACCAAAAAAAGCCCACCACATGTTGACTCATGAATTCTCTGAGTAATGTGTAATTTCAAGGATACTATTTGCAAATTTTAGAGCAACATGCTTATGTACCATATAAAATAATTTTAAATTTAAAACACATAATTAAGATCTGATTATAATAGAGAACTATAAATTTTATTTTAATCAAACAAATTATAAACAAATGGTCATTTATATGCGATTAAATATAATAAACACAAAATGAAACTGAATTATGAGTTACATTAAAAACAGATAAAATTACTTATACAAGTTGGTATCTGAAATTTCTATATTTTGCTCTTCAAAAATTTCAACTGGCTTATTTTCTCATCTCCATATTTTCTTTCTGAATAATTTTAGGAAAGAAATGTACAAACATATCTCCAAAAATAAACTGTGAGTATAAAAATCCTCTATTGCTAAAATACAAAAAACTAAGTTTTATATAATCTTTTTTTCTGTTTAGTCTTTAGTTTTAGACAGCTTATTATGTGATAAAATAAATGCACCTGATTCAACTAGTAAACAGTCTCTTTAAGGTAAACAAACTATTATTTGAATGTTCTTTATTAACATTATATTTCTATATTAATATTCACTAATACTTCCTCTCATTAACCACAAATCTTCTGTAAGTATAAACTAAGTAATATAAAAGTAAAGACAATACAAATTGATCTATCATTTTCCAAATACAAATACTTAAATGACAGTAAGCATTTAGAGTGGTTCAGCAATGAGGACTCAGCAAGTAAAACCATAAATTTAGTTTAAATGCAGATGGTGCTGCAGAAAAAAAAAAAAATCAGCAACTAACAAATACCTGAATAAAGTAATAATTAAAAAAGATAATGGGAAAAATGAAAAATGTTATTATATAATATTTATAAATTTCTGTCAAACTAGCCATGTTAAAATTAAAAGGCAGGAAACTAGAGGTAAAATGCTTGCTACAAATGAAATTTTTAATGTACACTGCTACAATCTCAAAGATCAAAAGAATGCATAATTAATAAGTGAAAAAATATAAAGTAATCTCAAAAATAAAAAGTTAAAATAATAATCAAAGATATGCAAAATTCTAGCACTTGCTTGTTTTTATCAACTCTATAGGGATACATGAAACACAAAGCCCAAATGCCTTTTATGTAATCTAATCAAATTAATTCACATGCCTTTTGGAGAAATTCTTTCAAACAGTAGTTCTCTCTGGAAGCACAGAGTATTACAAGCAATCTCAAATTCTAAATAAGAGTGTCATTATTTTAAATAAGCACCAAGACTTTTTAAAAAATAGCAAGACTGATCACAATGTAAAAAAATTTAAATAATAAAATAACTTTTAAAAGAAAGTTACCTTTTGGTGTCTCTTCATTAAGTGCCAGAAATATTGGTGCGTTAGGGTTCCACATGCCAGTAATAACATAGGCTCTCCCATCATAACTCTTCCCCATGGATTCCTAAAAGTTAAAACAGCAATGGTAATTTACACATCAATAAAAATCACAATTTTACATTATATCTAATTTAAAGCAATCTAACTTATTAAAATTTAGGTTTACACTAAAAATAGGGGCTTTAGTTTTAGTATAAATTTTTTAACCCTTTAAGAGAATTTTTTTTAATATTATATCCCCCTACAGCTATCTTCAAACACAATTTCTATATAAAGATATGTACAACTCAGATGAATGGAGACAAACATACATATATTAAATCACAAAAACATATGAAATTTTATATATTATATATAAATATAACTAAAAATTATATTTAATTTCACTTTATGCTAGTTGTCAAAATTTCATGTATCTATGCATATGGAGATACAAGTAGTCTCCACAAAAACTACAATACAGAATTAACTGAAGACTGAATTAATAGCTAATAATGGGAATAGAAAAAGAATATCCTTCAATGCTCTCATTTTTAATATATTCTTAAAGTATCAATTTACTTTATGCAATTAATACCTTAACATTAATCTTCTCTTTTTCATATGTCAGATACTTAGGCACTTTCTCAAAATCATAGATCAATCTCAGAAAACTAATACTAGTTTGTAATCAATACTCAAGTTCTTTGACTCTTCTTTTCCCTATCTCTGTAGTGCCTCTTTTTCCCATCTCTTCTTCCATACTCTTCAGTACCTCCATTTTAAGACTTCGGTATCAACTACTTTATTCTCCCTAAAGAAGCTAACACGTACTACAGTCAAAGCAAAGCCACATACAGACGTGTACCTGTGCAGGGAAAGGAGGATGAAGGGTGTCCCATGGGAAAATTGCACAAATGCATATAAATATAGACATATGCAAAAGGAAAGTATCTACAGTATTTGAATTATCTGTATTTCCACATAACATGAATGGAGTGTCAAAAGGGTCAGACCACAACAAAAATTGTGTGGGTGTGTGTAGGTGTGTGGGTGTGTGTGCGCACGCACATGCATGTGCGCACACAGAGTCCCACAACACAGCTCCAACTCATAGTGATCCTCCTCTTTACTGCCTCCCTAGTGCTGGGATTATAGGCATGCGCCACCACACCTGTACTCCTCTACCGGCTCAGCGTGCCTGGGGACAGGGCTGACATGGCCTGTGGTACCAAGGATTGAGCCCTGGCCCCTGTGCTTACCTAAGCAAGTGCTTAGTCTGCTGAGCTATCTTGACAGCCCTCAAAAACTTATTTTTCCAGTATCATGCCTTCATAGCTGCATCTCTGAATCCTTATAAAATTGTGCCAGTCATCTGGTAACTGCTAATGTACATTTTACTAGTATACTAGTCATAATTCACTAATCAGATTATAAAGCTCTAGGGCTAATACCTTTGCATTCCAGAGAGAAAGGACGCTCAAGGATATTTGTAAATGAAACCTTCCTGAGCACCTCTGAGCTATTCATAATCAATCAAAATCAATCTATCTCCCTCAATATCTCTCTCTCCTCTCTCTCTCACACACACACACATACACACTTCACATAAAGATTCCTTTAACTTTCCTCTGAATCAGGTCCCCATTCAGAACTGGAATGGATTTCTGACCCACATATTCTAAACCATTTCTGTGCTCAAGTTCAAAAAGATGAGATGGACAAAGTATAATAATCTCTCTTTCAATTAATACACATCAAGGAAAAGTGGGAAGTTAGAAGTAGAAGCTGAATGCATTTATTTACTGAGAAGTCAAGCTGTCACAGGCCACATATAAAAGTGTTATAAAATTATGAAGTAGACAAAATACATAAAGATTAGCAGAATAAAGGCCCAGCCAAATAGCTCAGCGGATTAAAGTGCCTGCTCAGGAAGACACAGGGGCCAGGAGTTTGAGCCTAGGGCCTGCCACGCCAGCCCCGCCCCCAGGGCACACTGAGACAGCTATTGAGACTGGGCCTGGTGGCACACCCCTGTAATCCCAGCACTTGGGAGGCTGTAAACAATAGAATCACTATGAGTCCAATCTACACAGTGAGACCCTGTCCTAAATACAAAAAAAAAAAAAAAAAAAGATTATCAGAATATTAAAAGTGTAGTAAGTGGTGAAAGAGAAATGCTGCAAATAAATGTAAAAAATACACTAAAATGATAAATCATGTAAGCAAAAAACAAAAGCAGATACTGGTAGGCTGAAGGGGAGAGGGATGCAGGCAGAAGCACAGCATGGCAGCTCAAAGAGAGGGCAGGTGACAAAGCAGAAGAGAAAAATAACAGAATGGACCACACATGTGAAGATTAGACTGCCTGGTATACTGGATTAAAATGTGGAATGCATTTACAACTGGGGGTCAGTCTTCTGATCTAGTGTTTGTAAGTATTTAACTGTAAGATCTACAAAATTCTTGAGGAATCTCTAGGACTTAAAATTTTAAACTATGATCCAGTTCCAAGAAACCTGGCTCTACTGCATTGTTTGCTTTTTTGGAAAATCCCATTAGGTTTCACTTATGTAGCATCATAACTAAAGTAAACAAAAAAATTCATGACCTTATTCCTATACAAGTTCCTTGACCAAAAATACTGTCATTATTGGAAGAAAATTCAGTCTCCATTACTTGTATTCTCCCTGAACTAACTTTGGGAATATGTGATTTTGTTTACATGTGTATATAACTGTATACTCTAATAAAAAAAAAACTTCACGTATAAGTATGACTTCCTCTTTTATGAAGATCTTAAACTACATTTATAAATCTATTAAACTAGAAAAATTTCAATTCACCTTGCTTATTAGAAAATACTCTCAAGGAAAAAAATCAGTATTGCTTCAAAATTGTTCAAAACAAGTTACATAAATTAAATTAAATGTAACTACATGCTTTTTCAAAGTCTATCAGGAAAAAGTGGTAAAAGATTTGTTTTCAATTTTGCATGACACTTGGGTGTATCCAAAAAGAGCAGAAGTGAGCTACATGTGATGGCAAACACCTCTTATCCCAGCACTTATAAAGCTGAAGCAGGAGGATCGCCATGAGTTTGAGGCTAGCCTACACTGCATACTAAGACCCTGTTTCAAAAAAACAGAGCAGAAGTATTGACCACCCCCCTTTTTCTACAAGCCAGAACTAAAACTATATATGCAAAATTATAAAGAATTTTATTTCATCTGATTACAAACAAATAACATTTTAATGAATAATACTATTTCTCACGCTTAAACATGAGGTAATGGATTCCTTTTCATGAGATTTAATCTAGCCAAGGACCAATGCCCATCTATGTAGACATCACAAAGATTAACAACAGTAAATAGTAATACATCACAATTGTTGATCACTGCAAATACAAGCCTTCCTATGTGCTCATTACTGTGTAGCTTAAGCATACTTTGCTTTCCAGAAGCCTGACTGCCCACAAGCCTTTGATTTTAATGCCTCAAAGGTGGAGTACTTCTCTGTAAATTAGATGTGACAGAAGAAACTCAGAAAATCACACCAGTTCTGTAATTCTATAATCTGGATTTAGACTTTATAGACAAATGTCTACCACTGATTCATCCTCATCTTGAAAAAACAAAATTAGGACCAAGGATCTTAAAAGTTTTGAGTGTCCCAACATTCCCAAAATACCACCTCATGGAATTTTCACAATTCTAAAATGTTATGACTTGCCTTTGGTAAAACAACACTCATTCCTTAATGGTATGCTGTAGAAATGGATAAATCAATAACTTCTGTTTTCTCATTCAACGTAACCATTGTCCTTACTTGACCTACCCAAGCAGCACTTTCCATAGTTCCACAGTTCACTGCTCCAACAGAGAAAGAACTGCACTCATTACTGTAGTTACATACTTAAAAGCTCTGTTTCCACTTCAAGACTATGAATCCACAGATGGAGAAAGCTACCGATTACTCATATCTAGAACCCCAGCACTTCACACAATGCCTAGCACACAAACAGCTACCAAGATGTCTGAAAGAAAGCTATCTAGTATTATTAGATCAGTGTTGATATTGCTATGAAATAACTGAAAGAAAAACTTGACATAATTAGTGCTATTTAACTGACATTTACAAAGCACACTTGAAAGGAAGAACACATGTAGTGTCTATTATCACTAAATATAAAATATTCAGTTCACTGAGGAACATAATATTCACTCCCAAATGACTATTTCCATTTAAGATTTCTAAATCATAAAGTAAATGTTTTTATTAATTGAAGTATTAGAAGGTATGTCTAATACTACGAAAAAGTTAAGATGGCTTGCCACTTTTATATCAAATACTAGCACTAATTAATTAACTGATATTAACCTTTAAGGGCATTCTTTGAGTAGAGCCAATATATCTTGCTAGTAAAATGTAATCCAGGAGAAATTCAGAAAGAGAAATGTCTTAAAGAAAACAGGCATCATCACAACACACATATTAATAATGCATTAAAAAAATGAAAGGCATCATATTCACTTTGGAGGTACTTGTTATAATCATATTTTTGTTATTTTGGGCTCAAAGGAAAGACAGCTTCTTAAGAAGTCCAACAGATGAATAGATGGACATCAACATAATACTATCCTTTCATTTGCTTTCAAACTGCACAATTGTTTTGGTTGGAACTTTCCTAAATCCCTCCCTCAGAAGTAATTTTAAATCAGCTACTAAATTTAATTATTATATGCAGTAAAAAGAAACAATTCTGACAATATGCCAAGTTTTTTAAACAAAAAGTACTTTAAATCTATAAAATAAATACTATCTATACTTGCTTAAAGTGCTTAAGATTATCATTACCATATCCAGTAAATGCATGTCACTGTTCTTCACGTTTCGACCTGGGCTTAATAACATTCCAAAACATCTGAAAATATTGGGGGGGAAAAAGGAGAAATAAGGTATCAAGAATATATAGAAGCCCAGAGAGCAAAACGCTTTCTTAATCATCATACAATCTTAACTCTGAATTACAAATAATTTGTTATAGGAAGACCAAAAATAAGAATTTATTAAGATACCAGTTGAATAAAATATGAGCTTTTAAAAAAGAAAAACAAGACCCTGTATTCTCTGCTATTCTATTATTGGACACATTATCAATATACTTTCTGGCAGTAGAAAAGCTTCAAGAATCCTACCATTGCTATGAAATTTGAGCAACACTTTTTGATAAGCTTTAAAATTCAGCTCAAAACTAAATTTTTTACATTTTTAGGCTACATTAACTCTACCTTTCTGGCAAGCAAATCAAAGTCCAGAAAAGCTAAACAATTTACCCAGATTCAAGCTGCTATTAAATCAGTCCTGTATCTCAAAAAGCAATATAATCTGCCCTCAGTATCCCTCTCCAAACAAGATCTTCTCACACATAATAGACAAGTTGTTATCAGTCTCCTAATACCTAAGATATGTTGCAAAGTATTTCACAGAAAAGGTGAAGAACATAAGTAAAATAAATTTTAAATTTCAAAAAGTGGCAGCTCCACTCTGCCACAAAGGATAAAGTTGAGTCATTTTTAACAAAATGGATGCACCTTGAGACCAGAGACCCATAAGTGAAATAAATCAGACACAAAGATATATAAGAAAGACAAAATATAACTAAAGAGCAAAATGGAAGGAAGGAAGGAAGGAAGGAAGGAAGGAAGGAAGGAAGAAAAGAAAAGAAAAGAAAAGAAAAGAAAAGAAAAGAAAAGAAAAGAAAAGAAAAATCTTTTGCAATAGGGAAGAGAACAAAGAAATGGAGAGGAAAGTAAAGGAGGGAAAGGAAAAAGGCTTGATAAAAGAATTAAGGTGTCTTATATCTATGTACCAACTCCCCACAATGAATGTCATCAGTATATACTGCAAGCGCATACTAATAAAAATAAATTTGAAAAAAAAAAAAGTTGCAGTTGGCCAATCAACATTTCATCTGCTCTTGTTTTCCAAAGGTTTTTTTTTTTTCCCCCAGTAACTTTTCTCTTAAGTGAGCAAGACACCTAATTGGTCTCAATTACAATTCAAGTATAAAGAAACTAAAATTTTTCTATCAAGGTATCAAGTATATAGTAAGTATATACCTCAGTGATTGCATAAGGGTACCTTTTTTTTTTTTTTTTTTGCGGAACCACATAAGGGTACCTTGCTCAAGACTTCCTTTTGGCATAGAAAAGTGGTCATTGATTTAATTAAAGATAAAGTTTCACTATGATTTCACTATAATTACTATAGACTGTTAAGATCTCTCATATAAACTCATATAATAAACATTATTGCCTTAAATTTTTACTAAGTAACAATAAAAAACACTTCCTTTTCAGATAGAAATTTGGTCTCAAGGCCAATGAAAGCAAATTTATTTCTCATTTTCCTACATACTTTTGTTGAAACTGCGCCTCTCCTAGGTTTTTGTTTTTGCTTTTAAACAATTTTTTTATATCATAAAACTTTCAAGTTA